ACTGCTACCAATAATAATGATAAGAGGAATAACAAGGGAAAAGGACACAACCGCTCACCACCCGCCGACCGATACCCAGCCCGACCCGAGCAGCGATCTGGGCCTTCCGGGTAACTCCCCCCAGTTTATATACTGGGCATGACGTGCTGTGGTATGGAATACCCCTTTGGCCAGTGTGAGTCAGTTGTCCTGTCTCTGCTTCCTCCTGGCTTCCCCTCCTCTCTGGCAAAGCATGAGACTGAGAAAGTCCTTGGTCAGAGTAAACATTACTTAGCAACAACTAAAAACATCGGTGTTATCAGCATTGTTCCCAGACTGAAAGTCAAAAACACAGCACTGCACCAGCTACTAAGAAGGAGAAAAAATGACTGCTGTAGCTGAACCCAGGACAAGCAGAAATTTTCAGGAAGAGAACAACTTAAAATGAATTACTTTTAATAATCATGACTGAGACTTAGCTGCTTTCATCTGGCAGCGTTCTTGAATTAACAGCAAGTTTTACAGCAGATTTAAGGTACCGACCTGTGGTAGGAAGGTCTTAACCAGGAAGTAAAATTGTGGGAGGCAGAAGGAACTAAGTGCTTTATCTCTTCAGTTTCATGAGAACCCCATTCTCCTGCAGAGTATTCATTTACTCCAAGCCAGAAGCACGCACGGACATGAGCAGCACTTCCAAAATGACTCTGTAGCTGTTTCAAGAGTTACAGCTATTCTGTTCATGTGAATGCAGTAGCATTTATTTGAAAACCCAGATATTAGAAAGGATTAAAAAGCTGCTGCAACAAGCATGTGGCATCTCACCTGGGCCTGGAAACAGGCAACAGCCAGCATTATAGCAGTGTTCCGGTGCCTAAAGGGGCTGCAAGAAACCTAGAGTGGGACTTTGGATGAGTGCCTGTAGGGACAGGCCAAGGGGAATGGCTTTAACCTGCCAGAGGGGAGACTGAGGTGAGCTCTGAGGCAGAAGCTCTTCCCTGGGAGGGTGCTGAGGCGCTGGCACAGGGTGCCCAGAGAAGCTGTGGCTGCCCCATCCCTGGCAGTGTTCAAGGCCAGGTTGGACACAGGGGCTTGGAGCAACCTGCTCTAGTGGAAGGTGTCCCTGCCCGTGGCAGGGGGTTGGAACTGGATGAGCTTTAAGGTCCCTTCCAACACAAACTAGTCTGGGATTCTATGATTTCCACTGCACAGCATTGTCCATGCCTCCCTTTGTCAGCTCTCCTGGAGAAGCCCCTTGCCCCCAGCCTCCCTCTGCAGCTTCCCTGGACCCCCTCCAGCATCTGTCTTGCTTCTGGCTCCTGTGCCAGCAGCAAGGTAATTTTTAGCTTGATGGAAGGCTGAAAGCAAGAGGCAGCAGCAAAGCCTCTGTTGTGCAGCAGAGATAGCAAGAAGCAAAGTGCACCCACCTCTTTCTAATCTGAGGTTTCATGGCTACGTCCTGCTGAGTGTGTCAGGATGTTTTTTCCTGCTCATATTATATTTGAAGCAGCAAGCGAAGGCAGAAGTTTCTAACCACAGCTTGTCTCACACAAGGGGTTTTTATACCACCTCATCCAATCGCTTTTCTGCCCCAACAGAACTTTCAAACCACTTTTTTAATGGTGCAGTGAACTGTAAATTCATTTTTTATTTAATAATCCTGCTTAAATTGCTTCATATGTTGCATAAAATGCATCACTTTAACTTTACCTCCTGATAGGAAATAAACCCGAGTCCTGGTTTAGTGCTGCCCATAGGTTTTGTTTGAGCTGTGAGGAAATGGTTTGATGCAGGGCAACGATTCACCAGTGCGCCTTGGGCTAAGCATCGTGGTGCTGGGTCCTCCAGTCTGTGTCCCAGAATACATACCTGAAGGGAAGCAGGGCAGTGGTGGGATGGAGGATGTCCCCACAGCCTCGTGAGGAGCAGGCTGGGTGGCTGGGAGCTGGGTGGGATGGATGGGTGGGATTAACTGTTGTGTTCCCAGATTAAGCAGCAGCCTGTCTTTCCCCATTCAGTGCAGCATTTGCCAGCACTTGGGTGCACCTCTGTGGTGTGTCTGAAATCTTTATTTTGGCCAAAAAAAAAAAACCCAAAATGGGTCAAAATATTTGAAATTTGTTTTGACTAGGGATGAGAATTTGCTGTGAGGTGGTTGGTTGGGTTTATTTCAAGTTTTTCCCCATTTACACGCTTTTGTTTGCTTTTTATTTAAGAATAAGTGGGAAAGACAGGTATAAAAAACCCTAAAACCTTGCAGAAGAACAGGGTTTTACACTTCCTGTTGATCTGAAGCAAAGTGTGTGTTTTGAAACAGTCTTTTGGAGCACAAAAGAGGGGAAATGTGAGGCAAAGACCCCCTAACTTGGAGTTTGTGTTCAGCCCTCCCTGAGAGGAAAGCTGACAGCAAGGAAAAGAGGTAGGCCAAGCAGCTACTTGCAGGGATAGAGCTCCAGGCGAGGTCTTGTCTGCTGGGTGACAGCATTGCCTTTTAAACCTGTAAAGCACCAGAGCTGGGCAGAGCTAGAGAATGAAAGGGAGCTCCATGGGGTGCTCGTGCTGCTGCACCCAAACCTGGTCCCAGCAAGGCAAAGCTCCCCATGGCCCCATCAGGAACCTCCTGCAGCTCTCTGGTACCTGCCAGGATTTTTCTGATGCTTGCAGCAGTGTGGAGAAAAGCTCCTGCAAAATCACCATCTTCTGCTTGAGCAGCAGCTCGCGATGCAGGGCCTCCTGTGGGGAAGGGGAGAGCTGGTCAGCGGGGACAGACGGGTCTTGGTGTGCTGAGGCTCATATGTAGGATTTCGTGGCTGTGTTAAAATTGGGCAGGCAGCACTTCTTCATTCATTGAGGGGCTCTTCATCAGAGACTGTAGCGATAGGACAAGGGGTGATGGGTTCAAACTGCAACAGATTAAGTTCAGGTTGGATCTTAGGCAGAAGCTCTCCCCTGTGAGGGTGCTGAGGCACTGGCACAGGGTGCCCAGAGAAGCTGTGGCTGCCCCATCCCTGGCAGTGTTAAAGGCCAGGCTGGACAGAGCCTTGGGTGACATGGTCCAGCATAAGGCATCCCTGCCCATGGCAGGGTTGGAACTATATGATATTAAGGTCCTCTCCAACCCAAACCATTCTATGATTCAATAATAATAATATTGTTCAAAACATGTGTATCCAAGGCCCTCAGTGCCATGGGTTAGTGGTGGCCTTAGCAATGCTGGGGTAACGGTTGGACTTGATGATGATCTTAAAGGTTTTTTCCAATGTGGTTGATTCTATAATTCCTGAAGACCTGCTTTCTGTGTCGGCACTTCACAATATTTGGTACCTACCTTGAGGTAGTTGGACAGCTGCACCATTTCCTGAAAGGGAAAGGGCAAATGTTTAAAAACAGTGGGATTGCTTCTGTTTATAAACACTTTATGAACTGGCTACAAAATCCAAATATTTTGGAATGAAACTGAAGCTAATGGCCTGTGTCTGGTGGAGGAGGAGCCTGCTGGGGTGCATTTGTTTGGTTTTCCCATGGAAGTGACTGGTTTTTGCAGTTTACAAGATGGGAGTTACGGCATCATGTCATGTGTCATATCAAGGCTGCTACTGAATGAGACTAAGATATCACAATGATGCTGCGAGGGCTGGAGCAGCTCTGCTCTGGAGACAGGCTGAGAGAGCTGGGCTGGGGGAGACCTTAGAGCAGCTCCAGTGCCGAAAGGGGGCT